TTTCTCACTTTTTAATTTTCTTTCTTCCCTTCTTTTTTTATTATTTTTTCTTTCATTTCGCCTTTTAATATTATACAGTACTTTTAACTATCTTTTCCTACTTTCTCTTTTTTTACTATTTTTTTCTTTTTTCTATCGTTCTTACTTTCTTTCTATTTTGTATGATTCTTTCGGTTTTTACTACCCTTTCTTACTTCATCACTTTTTACTTATCTTTCTTTTCTATGATACTTTTTCAATTCTTCCATTCTTTCTTCCTTCCTTTCTTTCTTCCTTTCTTTCTTTCTTTCTTTCTTTCTTTCTTTCTACTGTTCTATACACATTTCTTTAACAGTCGAATGAAGAACTGAAGTCTCCACCCGTTAAAGTGAAACCTTAAGAACTGGATTCCAGGGAAACTGATTAGATATTTATTACATGAGATATAAAGTAACATAATAGAATTCTAGTAAAAAAGAACAGACATAATTAAAAGTGAGAACAAGGGAAAAAAAAAGACTACCACAGTGCAAAAAAGAAGAATCAAAAGAGAAAATAACAAAACCGGTTATTGCTCCACAGTCGTCAGAACTCGATCAACTGTATACAACCGACCGATAAAAAGAAACATGAAAAAGTATCAATAATACAAGGCAAGTCTATTTTTAATATAATAATAATTAAATTAATAATATAAGGCAAGGCTATTTTTATTGTCAGATCACATTCAGTCCGAACAACAATACATTCATTTTTTTTATTGTTGTTTTTAATCTTGTTCACTCCAAGCAAGGCAATAAAGCCACTAAGACACAGGTGGTAGAAACAGAAATAGAAACATTAATAATAAACGTGAAGAGAAAGGAGTAATCGGGATGGCAGTAGATAGCGATTGATATTGCATTTAAACTTTTGAAGATTAAATATGACTGAAAAGTCTTGAACCGGAAAGGAGTATCACAAGCGAGAAGTGCGAGAAAAGAAACTGTTAATAGATGAGATCTCGACACCAGTCTCGTATTGTGATTAAAGTCAAAAAGTCTAGGTACCATAGTGAAAAGCACATCTAAACAATTACCACGAAACCATCTATAGAAAAGGCACAGGGAGGCAACCTTGTAGTGGTGAGAAAGTGACTGAAGCTGAGACGCCAAATCACGACCAATAATATTGCTGATTCTTCTTTGGATTCTATCAAGGAGCTCTCGATAAACAGCCGGAACACCGGACCATATGTGTCAGCCGTGGACGAATGGTAGACTTATAGATATGTAACGTAGATTCTGGAGAGAAAAAAATTGTCTCGCACGACACAGTGAACCAAGCTTCTTAGTGGTTGACCTAGCAATGGCTTCAATATAGTCTTTCCACTTCATGTGGTAGTTTATCTGGATTTAATAAAAAGAGTTTCAAACAATTTTTGTGCAGTATCTGTCTATATTTCTTACATTAGATATTATGTACACTGTTTACATTGTTCGAACTATAATCCTCATCTTTGTTGCCATATTCATCACAACGTTTTGGCCGTTGTACGCTCCGACTTTCTTCTTCTCTATGACACATGGCACAGTGGATAAAGGCGTTGGTTAGATCCAGTGACAGGACCCAAAGAGTGTGAGTTCAATACCCGGTTAAGACAGTGGAGAACTTGGAGAGAGGAATTAACAGGAGATAACTGACATCCATTAGACATGGCATGTGGAACTAGAACAGCCTACCCCAACGAGCGAAATAAAGGGATCACTTCAACATTCCAATCACCGGAAGAACGCCGAAGCGTACAGCGGCCGAAACGTTATGATAAATATGGCAACAAAGATGAGGATGATAGGCCGAGCAATGTAAATAATTTTTGTGCAGATCCCATTCTAGCTATCATTTAAAAGCCGTTGAATCTCTTTTTTTAAAATTGGCTGACTTATGTATTCAAAAATATTGATAAACTGGACAGAATGAGATTTTTATAAAGATATATCTGTGAGTATATTATTGATACACCTGTAGTTTCTTCTTTATGTTTCTATTTTAGGAGGTTCTGTATAGAAATATTTTTTTACTTTTCTCGATCGAGTTCTGATGTGTGTGGAGCGATAACCGGTTATCACGTTCTGTTCATTTTCTTTGTTAACAGATCTTCTTCCGCGCGTTTTTTTTTTTTTCGCTTTTAAACGGAGACCTTGCATTAAACGTGTTCTCCATCAGGTCATGCGACCTCTAATAGATAGCATCTTTCGCAGGATATTTTCGGGGCCAAGGAAAAGGAGACATCTAAAGGGACGGGATACTTGGCTTTATTCCGATTTTCTTCATGTAGACACTGAGCTTCGTTGGTAAAGACCATAACACTAAAATAAGTGAAACAATAACGGCCTGAACATCTGTTCTACTAGAACATACCTATTCTATTGTAATATACTCTCCCACACATAATAAGTAGTAGTAGCAGTCGCCAGGGGCTCAGTGGAGTTGGTCTGATTTCAGTCTGAAGTCAGACGACCGGCTGACCGGTTGAACTCTCTGCCTTCGGGCAGGAAGGAACCCGAACGAGGCTACGCCGAAAGGCGGAGTCTCTTTCCGGGAGGGAAACCGACCCTGAACCCGTTTATACGGGTTCAATGGGCATATTTTTTGGCCGATCCCACCGGCTCGGAGATCCCACGTTAAACCGGCCTTGTGCCACATGACACCCTTGTCGGGAGTGACTGAATATCCTCAGTGGAGTTGGTGAGTCAGTCGATGTCGGACATTAAAGTATCAACCACCACAACTAGATTGCTGCGTCATTAACTATTATTTCAAGTTCCAATGGTTTTGTACGTCGAGCCCTTTAGGACCGACTTAGTGAAATACAAGCCTCCACTGTGAAAACTACTCTACAATACATCCCAAAATCTCACAGCCTCAATCCGGTGGTCAGTGTGAATTTTAAGATGTCCACTTTCTTTGACTTTGTTCATTAAGAATAGCTATTTCGACGAATAAGTATTCCTTTTTTTTTCGTTTTTTTTTTTATTGTTAACAACGGTAATGTCTGTTTTAGTAGCCTCAAGGTTGCGGTCTTTTTGGATGTTGAAATCAGTCATTTATGTGCCATGCGTGATACAGACCCTTAAAAATATATTTAAAACTGCCTGCCCTATGTACTTGTAAGCATTGGTTAACTAGTCAGAATGAGTATATTATTGATACACCTGTAGTTATTTTTCATGTTTCCCTTTTAGCAGGATGTGCATAGAAATATTTTTACTTTTCTCGGGTGAGTTCCAATGTGTGTAGAGCGATAACCGGTTATCACGCTTTATTTATTTTCTTTTATTGTGACCAGCTCTACTTCCGCACGGTTCTTCGTTTTCAAGTGGAGACCTTGTATTAAACGTGCTCTGCATCAGGTCGTGCGACCTCTAATAGATAGCATCTTTCGCAGGATATTTTCGGGGCCAAGGAAAAGGAGACATCTAAAGGGACGGGATACTAGGCTTTATTCCGATTTTCTTCATGTAGACACTGAGCTTCGTTGGTAAAGACCATAAAACTAAAATAACTGAAACAATAATGGCCTGAACATCCCAAAATCTCGCAGCCTCAATCCGGTGGTCAGTGTGAATTTTAAGATTTCCACTTTTTTTGACTTTGTTCATTAAGAATAGCCATTTCGACAAATAAGCATTTCTTTTTTTTTTTAGTTATTTTTTATTGTTAACAACGGTAATGTCTGTTTTAGTAGCCTCAAGGATACGGTCTTTTTGGATGTTGAAATCCCATCAGTCATTTATGTGCCATGCGTGATACAGACCCTTAAAAATATTTTTTAAAAACTGCCTGCCATATGTACTCGTAAGTATTAATCAGCTGGGCAGAATGAGATATTTTTATAAAGATTTATCTGTCTGTGTATATTATTAATAGTTTCTTTTTCATATTTCCATTACAGTCATGTCTCTTTCGATACATGATTGATTTTCTCGCAGTACGTTGCAGTAGACCAGTTTCCATTTAATGCTATAGAACCCGGTCTCTCCTGCTATTTACCTATAGCTTGGGGGATGGGGTGGAAGAAGAGGTTTCATACCTTTCCAAAGAGTATTAGCACGTAAGTGAATTTAAAGGATTCGACCGGAATTCGTACTCGGCTCTCCGATTCCTCAATCCGAGCCGCTATCCATTACGTAATACAAGACTAATGAGGCAGATTCTTCTCCCGAAGTAGGTTTCCATTTCTTTCTGCGGTAGACCAGTTGCTATCCAAGGCTATATAACCCGGTCTGTCCTGCTATTTATCCATAGTTGCGGGGAGAAGAAGAAGATTCATACCTTTGCCAAGGGTATTAGCACGTAAGTGAATGTAATGAATTCGACTGGAATTCGAACTCGGCTCTCCATTACTCCACCATGCCTCCTTTTATGAGTTACGGTCATTTTATCAGTCAGTCAGTTATGTGCCATGCATGATACAAGCTTAGGCGATACATGACTGACGAGGCATATTTTTCTCCCGAAGTAGGTTGCCATTTCTTTCTGCGGTAGACTAGTTGCTATCCAAGACTATAGATCCCGGTCTGTCGTGCTATTTATCCATAGCTGGAGGGAGAAGAAGAGGATTCATACATTTCCCAGCGATATTGGCACGTAAGTGAATGTAATGGATTTGACTAGAATTCGAACTCGGCTCTCCGAGTCCTCAATCCGAACTGCTATCCATTACAATCTGCAATCCCATAAGTTTTAATATTAATTTTTTTCATTTTTTTAGATGATTTCCTTTTCCACCATGTTTAATTATCTACGTTTAATTAATTGTCATAATTAATCCCTGTACATCTAAAAAGATTTTTAAATAACAGAATTACATGCAAAGTAGAATTTGATGAAATTCGAGACATAATGTCTGCTTCCATAACAGAGGCGTAGATATTTTGCATAAGCATGCATTAGACATTTGTGCATTCTCTTTTAGCAGCTGTTAGCAAAAGGGTCAGCTCAACATGCAAATTACATATTGGAGATACCAAAATCAAGCA